GCAAAGTTGGACGCCGAATGACTGGACCAATGTCATTTTCACCGATGAGTCGAAGATCAATCTCTTCAACCCTAATGGCAATCACTTGATCCGGAGACCAGTTGGACAACGCCATAACATCAAATACTTGCGGCCGACAGTCAAATTCGGTGGCGGATCGATTATGCTATGGGGTAAAAGACTTGTTCCCTTATGTCAACTAATCTTGCTTTTTTCAGGAGCGATGACTAGAAGTTCACCAGGTCCGCTCGTCTTTCTCAACTCAACCTTGAAGGCCCAGCGGTACAAGACGATCCTGGAGAATGATCTTCTTCCATTTGCGACCACGAATATGGGACAAGGATGGTTGTTGTACCAGGATAACGCTCCGTGTCACAAGCACCAGATGTTGATAGGAAGGGTCGGCCGACTTTCAAACGGTGGAAGGGCTCGTTTACCGGGATGGTTCGCTGACAATCGTGTCAAGCTCGTCGCTGCTCCACCTTACAGCCCGGATCTCAACGTAATCGAGCATTTGTGGTCGCACATCAAGGGTAAACTGAAGGGCAAACGATTTGCGACCAAGGTTGAGCTTTGGTACTTCATTCGAAGCGGAAGATTTGAGGATCCTCTTGGAGGATTTGACTGATTCGATGCCACGGAGGATTCAGGCAGTTATTCAAGCTAAGGGAGGCCCGACAAAATATTAGATTTTTGTTTTTATCAATTTTTATTTTATGTGTGACATTTTTTTTGTGCACCCGTTTTTGGTGTTCTTCCGGTATTTATTGAAAAATAAAAATTTAAACAAATTGCTGGAACTTTAACACTTTTTCACAAGAAAGTAGAAGCTTTTTGCTATCTAAAACCTTTTGACAGCATAGAATTTGGAACACGTTTAGTAGGTCAAATTTAGGCGTAAAGTTTTGTAAAAACGATGTGACATTTTTTTTGTGCATGGGTGTATTTGCCGACATACCTGGATATCATTATGCGGATTCCAGTCCGAATCATAAATGATAACAGTGTCCGCGGTGGCCAAATTAATTCCAAGACCTCCAGCACGTGTTGAAAGAAGGAAAACAAATTGGAGAGCACCAGGAGCTAATCACAAAAATAAACTTTTTTGATATCAGTTATATACCATTGAATCGATCGATAGCATCTTGTCGTTGTTGTCCTGTGATAGAGCCATCGATTCGTTCATATTTGTACACTTCATTCTCGCAAAAATCTTCTAGAACATCCAACATCCGAGTCATCTAAACGTGAACATAGTTACTTATTCATTGAAGCTTTCCTCGTACCTGTGAAAAGATCAAGACGCGATGACCGCCATCTTTCAACTTTCTGAGCATCTTTTGTAAAAGAACCAACTTTCCTGATGATTTGATCAAAGCCGCACCTTCATACATGCCGTTTTTAAGCTTTGGAGCTTCGATACTGGCCTAAATTGAGATGTAGCGATAAAATAACTTAACGCACCTTAGGAAAAAGGTATGGATGATTGCAGCATTTTTTCAACTCCATTAGAATATTGAGAAGAGACATCTGAGATCCGCCACTCTTTACGGAAAGCGCTTCGAAGTTCCGTGTAAGAATAGCTTTGTAGTATTTCCTAAAATTTCTTTGTAATTAAAGTTCATATTGAAACATACTTTTGCATGGAAGCAAGTTCGACTCGAACAATAAGTTCACTTTTGCTAGGCATTCCCGCAAGTACATCAGCTTTGAGTCGTCGAAGCATGTGGGGTCCGGAGAAGAGCATGCAACTTCTGGATTTGGTCTTCTTTGGAGATTTCGGCAAACTCTTGAGTAAATGATTCCAAATCACTAAAGAAAATTGTTAAACGTCACCAAAACAGTTGCTAACTAGAAGCGATCAGCAGACAAAAAGTTGAGAAGATGAAACAGTTCCTCCAAATTGTTTTGTAGTGGTGTTCCGGTAAGCAAAAGACGATAGCCAATCTAAAATAATTAGAATTAGTAATAGCAGAGTATGTAAATTGATACCCTGAATTCTCGTAGCGTTTTGAAGAAAGTGGACTGGTTGTTCTTTAGACGGTGTGCCTCGTCGACCACCAATGCTCCCCATTCAATAGACGAAAGAATGGCCTAATAAAGTGATTAACTTGCATGAAAAATAGACAACCTTATCGATGTTGATCAATTCATATGATGTGAGAAGCACATGGAATTTGATTCCCTGCTCTGTTTTGATTCGACTAGCCTTCACTCCAGTCTAAAAAACGTTTAGCTAATAACTGAAGTAAATCGCTACCCTCACAGCCCCTTCCATAAATGAGAATTCGTGTTCGCGAATGACCTAAAAGAAAAGTTTATGAAACATTTGAATAAAATGAAACTGACCATTCGAGAATCTTTGTCTCCAACATAGGTGACGACGTAAAAGTCGGGACACCAAAATTCCATTTCTCGCTCCCAATTGATGATTGTAGAAAGTGGTGCCGCAATCTGAAAATAACAAAATTGCCTGAGCCTTTCAAGTGTTGCTCTATATGGTGCAATACTAACCAAGAATGGTCCCTTTGAATGACCTTCCTTCATCAGTGTATAAAGGAATGTTGAGCTTTGAACTGTTTTTCCAAGACCCATCTCATCGGCAAGAATTGTATCCGTGCCATTTGACCAACTATGTCGCAACCAATTCAGTCCTAAAGCGTTTTATACAACAGCACTAGTTTGATACCAACCTTCCATCTGATACGGATGCAAAGTTCCTCCAGTCTCAGTGACGAAATCGGGCTGTGCATCGTATTTCTTACGGATGTCCACCAACGGTTTATCCTAAAGAAACTTTTTTCTTAGATTGAGTTGAATAAATTACCTTCTTTTTCTTATCCTTTTTCTTTTCGGTTCCTTCTTCTTCTACAGGAGCGAGTCCCTTTTCCTCTCGTCGTTGAGCAAGAATCTTGCGAATGAGTTTTGGTGGAGTGTCGCCATTCATTTTCTCACTGAACACAGTTTAAAATTTTCTTTCGATGGCACTCCTACCGATGAGCCCAGTATTTGATAATGGCGTCTTCATATCCCGCAATATCCATATCATCTCGTTCCCATGTCGCTTGTTCATAAACGAGCTCCCTCCATTTGACCAAATAGTCAAACTGCGTCTTGCTGTATTCTTGATGATTGATGATGCGATGTACCTGAGTTGAAAATAGCAAAGAATCACTCTATTACCATACTTGCATCCATTCCGGTTTGATTCCATAGCGATAGAACTTTTCTTCCATATTATGCGGATCGCTTTCCTTTTCTTTGTTGTCGATTCTCCCTGTGGTCATATCTTCCGTAGATCCATCATCGATTTCCGGTGGAACCTAATTGCATTTATTTAATATTTAAGACTCTCTTTTACTTCTGGATCAGCTTTTCTCCAGTACATTCGAAGAGTTTGCGGGTACCAAACGTCGAGGACCATTTCATTGACCCATTCACAATGCCAATATGACCTAAAAAGATTTGAAAAATTTAGACGGCAATTCTTATGTACAAAACAAGAAGAGGAATGTTTACACTCACATGTACTTCCATTTGATAAAAAACTCTCGTTCCTTGCGAGGAGCCATCTGTCGTGGGGGACGCAAACGAGGCTCTGATGGGTCGACATCGGCAGGAACCGTCTAAAATTACAACAATGTTACTAATTATATTATTCAGTCAAAAAAAGTCAATAATTTACCTCTGGGTCAGGGTAGCGAACAACAACCCAGCGCCACGAGAGAATCCTTTCTGGCCTTTGCTTTGGTTGTTCCGTTAGGCATCTTGGACAAGCCCATTCTTCATCATCTTCGGGAAGCTATAAAAGATAGATAAATTTGTTTAGAAGAAGATAAAACTTACCGCATCAGGTACAGGATTCATGCAGAATGGATGGTACGACGAAGGGCAATGATCACAGAGCAACATCCCTCCGCCCTCTTTGCAAACACGACAATATTCCAGATTAGCTCTTCCTGCTTCATCCTCTTTCTCGGCTGGTGGACCATGTTGCTCGCAATGTGGGCATGCCCAAACACCTTAATACACACGAGTTTAGATTTTGCAAAAAAAAATTGATACCATCAGGAGGGGTCTCCATATCTTGATCAACGCAAACCAAATGGTATGCCTTTGGGCACGTATCACAAAGTAAAATCTCCCCTCCTTGCTGGCACACTTCGCAATAGTCTTGATGTTCTTCATCCAACTAAAAATCATGTTAAGCAGAAAATAAATTGTTACTAACTTGTCCTTCTTCACGTTTCTTCTTTCTGACAGCAGCGACCTTTTCCAATTCAGCTTTCTTGGTTGCGACTTTGGCAACAGCACGGGCGTGTTTCTTCTCCTCCTTTTCTCGGTCCTGGTCATCGAGTTGCTTATCGTGTTGTCGTAATAATTTTTCAAATTCTTGATCCGAGTTTCCTGAAATTAATAAGCTAAAGTTTTGCAAAATGGAAATATTTTACCTCCGCCCTCCTCATCATCATCACCACCACCGCGTCGACCCTTTTTGCGAGCCGAAATGCGAATTTTGATTGGAGCCACTTTTTCTGCAGAAGCGGGTGTAGGTGGTGCTTTCACACCAGTCTTCTTTGCATTGATAGCTTTCCCAGAAGCACGAGCTTCTTCCTTAAGCCATTTATTACTTTTACCACCAACAGATAATAAATACCTGAAACTCTCGATACTTGGCATTAATCAAGGGGAGAAGCTTTGTTTGATTGATGCCCGGATTTGCCTCCATTACTCCGGTACGATAGAGATTCACCCAAGCCTGGAAAAAATTTTTGAATTAATAAATTAGAAGAATAAACCTTTAATGAAGTAATGTTTGTAAAATCTTCCTCCGTGTAGTCGATGGATGGGTCGGTGTATCCGTAGTACGCAGCAATTTCAGCGGCAGTCGAAGTTGCTGGATCGGGAGCGGTGTTGTCGTGCGACTTCCTTCCTTTCTTGCCTTTCTTTCCTTTGAGTCCCTTCTTTTTCCTCCCCTTCGCTGCTAGAATATGAAAAAGATAAAAATAAACATGAAATTTGCTAACCAGAAGAAGAGGCATCAGCCTCTTCGCCGAAATCCTCGTCAGCCTGCTCATCAACTTCTTCTCCGTCGTCGTTGGTCAGCATCGATTCATCCTCCATAGGTTCATCTAAAAATGGAATGCATTCCTGAGTTTCCAAATAATAAATAAACTTTTGCGATAACTTTATGGGCAAGTTGATTTACAGATCAAATAAGACACATTTCAGCACAAAGTTTCATAACATATTAGGCTGGCCGATAAGTTCGTAGAATTTTTTATCAACTTTTAAAGTGTAATTTCTCAAAAATCCCACTATCAATCTTTCTGAAAATTTTACAGTAACTTTTAATAAAGGTGAAGGGTTTTGTGCCAAAAGATGAGATTTCCTTTCCCGTATAACTTTTTATAAAAATTGAAAATAACAGTTTTTAACGTTAACTTGATCTCAATTTTTTTCACCACTAAAACCTCATAAAAAATTAAAAGGCCACCACAAAACCATGTCAAAATTCTATTTAAATTTTTAAAATTACATACTTTGGATAAAGAAGCCCATTTAAAGATTTTGCTTTTTTGAGTTTTTCATTTTTACACTGACATTTCAAAAGAAAAGTGCGTTTTTTAAAACTAAAGCTTTATATGAAAAACGGTTCCACCAGAAAAATTTCCAGTTTTGTTTACTTCATTTTGTTTTTGGGTTTATCTTTTTATCTAAAAACTGGACTTTGGAAAGTTCAATTGAAGACAGCTCCCTAAAAAGGCGCCAGGAGCCAATCAACTAATGAAATCTTCGAAACTAACCATATGATTGGTCTCATATTTTGGAAAAAACTTTTTCAATGATAGGTATATTTGCTGTAAAATTTTTAGAAAAATTGATGATGGGCTTTTTGAGAAATTACTTTAAAAGTTGATAAAGAAATTTTAGGAACTTATCGGTCAGCCTAATAAATAAACAGCCACGTATGCCTTTGAAAGCCTCACCTTCATTTTGATCTCCAAGATCCGGATGGTCCGAAGCTGAAGCCATCAAAACTAAAATATAAAGTTAATACCACAAAAATAGGATAAATTCACAAGAAAACGAAAGCACGGTTTTGCAAATAACGAGCTCTTAAAGAAATAGGTATAGAGGGTAGGGGCCTTGAGAAATGAGAAAAGACTTCGAGCATCGAGAGAGCGCTATTAAGTGAGAGGTGAAAAGAAAGAAAGCGAATCTGGCGCGGGTGAATCGAGGTTGTGACGGGGTCCAAAAACGGGTGTTCGGATAAGAGAAAGGACACCTCCGTACTCCCCTTTTGGCGCCCACCAAGCCCTTCCGATTGGAAAGGTCCAAAGAGCAAAATCACTGAAAAACAATCAAAAATTGTCCGGTTTTTAAATGAGCACAGAAAAAGATCGATATTTTGCCCACGGCAACTTTAATATAGCAAGTAAAGTAATCGAAAAAGTCGCAGAGAAAAGGAGGCAGAGAGAATTGTCGAGCGAACAATTGGATTTCCGCTCATCTTTTCGGGCAGATGTACAAGGGGGAAGGGGGGTCAATCGATTGATCCACTCTTGAGGGGTTTCACCACAGGCCTACAGCTAGGTATGCTTTTTAAACAAGATTTCTCTTTTGTTTGCAACACTAACGCCTGTATATTAAAAGCGCGTTAGCCTTTTAAAAAGTGAGTAATCTAGAAAACTATCGTAATTTTTCCTTGAGCTTTGCTGGATTTACTGTAAATATGTCCTCATTCGAGAGGAATCAAACTGTGAATGGAATGGGATCAAAATTAAGCAGACAGTTTACTATTAAGGAAAGAATACGGTAGTTTTCGAAATTATCCACTTTTTAGCAAATACTAACGACATCACAGAAACTTTAAAAGTTTAACTTTCAGTTGAAGATGAAGGAACCAACTGCAGCTCTTCGATTTTTCAAAACACTGCTCATCGCCTTCGCTTTCCTTTTGTTCGTGGGATATGGTAACTAAAGAAATTAGCACTCAATAAAATGACAATATTCAGGTGGACTGTATTGGATCGGCAATTTTCTTCACAGTGACTCGATTCCCCTTGTCCATTATGGTGTTCTTTGCATCTTCTACTTGTCACTGTACAAAATTTCGAAACAACTCATTTGTGATTGTGTGCAATTATTGGAAAGATTAAGTTAAACATTTATACACTTTAACACTTATTGAGATCTAGTTTTTCCTCTGTTGGAAGGTAATATTTTCATCTAATCTGATTCCATTGAATTGTCCAGCCACGAAATCTGAAAACAATTTGAAAACAATCTGAAAAGAAAAGTTTTTAAAGAATAACACACTCTAGTGGGAACTTGAAGCTACAGCACTTGGAGCAGAATTTATAATTAGTAATCTAGAATAAATTTCTCATTAAAATCTCACTTTATTTTATACGTTTTATACGGATTTATAAATATTTCAATAAAACATCGGACAACAATCTAACCAAAAACAAAACAAAAACTTTAAAAGTTAAACATTTAACTTTCCACTCTCCAAAAGAAGCCATCGATCGCGATGCACTTTACAACGTTTTTTAATCGTTTTTCTCGGCTTATTTTGTGCTTATCAATTTCATTTATATCAACTTGCCGTGCAAGGATTCGATTCCTTATAAAGTGTAAGGATAAATCCGTATAAAACTAATATCTATCCCATTTATATTGGAAAAAATGCAATAGTATTGTGCTGTGTAAAAGTTCACTGAAATTAGTAGAAGTAGAAGTAGAGGAATTTCTATGAAAGAATGTTTTGGCACTTTAGGCTTTGGGGCACTTTTGTTCACCAAAACCATTTTTCCCGGGTAATTGATGATGCTGGTCACGAAAAAGTTAATTTTAAGACAAGTTAGCAATGGAAAAATGTCCGTTTTTAAAACTCAAGGTGCTATAGTAGTTGGGGGATTTTTTTCGCCAAATGAGCTCATTTTTTGCATCCAGGGGTTTTTGGCTATGCTGAATCGATTGACTATGGTTTCACACAACATTTCGTAACTTTCAACAACATTCAAGGCTCCTATATTTACTTAGGCTTTGGCTCTGCACCCTAGATGCACGTGTCTCCTAGGCCATCGCCTGATTCTCCTACGGCTGAGGTGAGTTTCGAACCGGAAGCACGTGACTTCTAGCTGGAACGAAACTTAACTCAGTCGTATGAGAATCAGGCGATAGCTTCGGAGCCACATACCTCTATTGTGAGCAATGGAGTGGAGTAAACAATTCGGTCAGTCAAGACGTGGTCTGTGGCAAGAATGGGAGCTCAACGGCGTGGTTGCACGAAATTCAAATACTACCACCGCTGTTATCAGTGTGAAATGCGTTCTCCAATAAAACTTGAAGTTTATCTCAAATGGCTTGCATAGAAGCTTAACGTGTTTAGCAGGCGGAAAAGTCGTGTAACAATTTGTAGACAGAAATTCCCTACCGCTGTACATTTCACAAAAAGTTATTGCTTTAATTTAAGCTACAAGGACAAAAAGCCTATTTTTCATCTGAAATTTATGAACTTGTAAAGAAAAAGTCGAAAAACAATTTATTAGCACATATTTAAGAAGAGTTTATTATTGGATCTTACGGACCATTCTGGCACGGTGAGAAGCCACAACCATTTCCGGTTTTTGCCTAGAATCAACAGCTTTTCAATGCAGTTGTCAACGGGCAGTTTTTCTCTTTCTTTCTCTTTTCAAGAACTTACCGTGATCACTTCACAGAGAGTCGCACAAACCACCCAAGTTGGTAGCATGTTTTCCCATTGTCCCAGCGGATACGTGCCACCAGCTGGATCTGTGGACGCAATGTAGAACTGAAAGAAAGATTTTGATCAGAGCAGAGCAAATACAAAACTTGGACCTATTGTTTGCCCGCAACCCTTCACCAATAAGTTCAAATCAATGCAAGTTCTTTTATATTTTAAGAGCTTATTTTTATGTTCTACATTCACGTTTACAAATTCTTAGTTAGTCACAGTTTTATGCGTGCTCTCAATTCGGATCTAACAATACCGTTGCACTGCTGGCTGCATCTGTTTCTGCTGGACTGTTTCCGTTTGGCTCTCCTGGCGCCCAGTTTCTGAAAACGCCGGATAAAAACACGGAAAATGTACAAAACCGATAAGTCGAGTTGGCACCATTTGACCAGGCAATCCCACTCGTCGTTGTCACATTGTTAATCCCCAATAACATTTGCTAAAGCTCAAAGTTAAAAAGAAATTTTCAGGACAACTCACACTATAGAAGAAATTTCCAAACGTTGAACATTGAGTCTTCAAATCAGCTGGTACAAGATCTAAGACCTATTTTGAAAACAATCACCACTCAATCACTAACTGGCAACTCCTGTATTCTCCGAATCACATCGAATCGTGCCCAAGTCAGCATTGGGATTCAATGCCTGACATTTGGCTCTAGCTCCACCAATGTAAGAGTCATTGATGAAGATTGCTTGATAACACGATCCACCGACATCAATGAAGCCACCACCAACAGCTGCACAATCGGCATAGGTTGTGGTGGGTACCTGGAGATGTTGATCCTTTTGCTTTAAAATAGGCTAGAACCATTCTTGAGAAGCTACTTAAGCAACCTCATTTATTGTGTCAAACATAAAAACCTAATTGCCTATGTTCTCAACGTTTACCGAAGTTGTGACACATGGTAGCGCTGGTGTCGTTGTGGTCGTAGTTGTGGTTGTTGTCGATGTCGTCGTTTTCTTTGTCGTTGTCGTTTTCTTTGTCGTTGTCGTTGTGGTCGGCTTCTTCGTTGTCTTCGTTGTGGGCTTTGTGGTAGCCTTTTTGGTTGTTGTCTTAAATAGTTCATTAGCTACAAAATAGTGTAGGTTAGTTTAATGGGGAAAAGTAAACAGTGTACTTGCAAGTTGTAAGTATGTGTAACCATAGAACTCGGATGCTTTCAAATGTTTCCCTAACTCTTCCGACAAACCGTGCATAAGGGCATTTGCAAAACGGGATCCTGTGGCAGGCCGACACCGCAAACCCTTTTGCCAGTCACAAGATTCGTCACCTAATCCAAAAAGTGATTGGCTCTTAACATAAGGCTCTAACCGCTTTTGTGTTCAATGCACACACATCTCCTGGACAGGCGAGTTTGGGACAATGAATCGTTCTTGTTGAGGAGCCGCTAAATGAATGGAGATATTGGTGGATGTTAGCGTCGGAGTGGTAGACAATTTAAGCACACTTGGCCTTTAGAGCTCAATTTATGTGTGTACAAAAGCGACTTAAAAACTCACGTGCATTTGTGGCCTTTGCTTTCCGACAAGCAAGTTCTATTCTGAGTGACCATTCCGTTGAGTCCACAGGTTGCCGTGCATGGTGCCGTCGATTTCCAGCCACTCCAAATGCCAAGATTTGGGAAAGCACAATGTGCGAGGACTTCTGAAAGCATTTCTTTCAGATCTATCTTCAATGTATTACTTGTGATTCGACACTTTGGCATCACATAGTCACTCGGCAGAGTCACATTTCCACAGAGAACTTCCTTGAGTTTGGAGTTGGGGTACTGAAATGGCAAATTCTGTCTTTTTAGCTGTCTGGTAGAACTTTAGCCAATAAACGAAAAACTTACGAGTGAATATCCCTCAGCACAGGCATTCGAGTCATCAGGACATGGCTTCGGAGCACATGGTCTTGTTCGAGAATATGGTCCCCTGGAAAGATTTGAATGGTTGTTTTTAAACGTACACAAAATTGTTTAGTTACTCACTGGCATGGACATCCCCATTTCCATGTGAGACACGTCCTCTTTTGAACTTTTCTTCCGAATAAACCACACGTGCCTGTACAGCTTGTATAGTCTTCCCACCTTGACCAGTGGCCTGGAATTTGTTGCTTGATCACTTGTTGATGTTTTTGTTAAGTTTAAAAGATTTACCAGCTGCTGGACACTTTGAACAAATGGGGAGAGAGGCTAGCGTGGTGCTTGCTGAAAGATCACTATCATAACTGTGTTCATCTTGAGTTGTAATTTAGCTAGCTAAGGAGAATAATCAGAAGTTAACCTCAAGTTAAGCTGACAGCTGACATAGCTATTCTAAATCTCAAGTTACTTACACAAAGTCTGGTGTACTGCCTCAGTTCTCCAGTAACCTTTGAAATAAGAGTTACTTGCAAGTTACTTTCTTACTTGTTACAAGCTTTTCAGAACTGACGTTAGATTGCAAGTTGCATATTTAGATGACACTAGCTTACAATTATAGTGTCTTATTTATAAACAAACTGTTCACCGCAAAACCTACCATATAGCCCGATCACAGCACAGATGATGAGCATGTTGGAATGAGCAATAAGTTGATCGAGTGAATCTTGTCTAAGTGACTCTGATGACTGATCTACATGCCTTTGACGCCTTTCACCCCTTTTATAGATGAATTGGGAACGCATTTTGAACCTCAATAGCAAAATTTGATTCAAATCCAAAGTCCATTGAAAGGGACTACAATGGTCTGAAAAAGAGTCGATTTGGAAATTTGGTCGAAAGTGATCGATTTTCGATCACCGCTAATTTTGAAACTGGAAAATTTTGCTTCCGAGTCAGGACAATGACTTTTATAACAATGGAATCAAAAGGAAATTTCGATTTTTTTTTAAATTCGGTCGGAATGGTTTAATTTCAGCGCCGGGATTGACCAGGAACGAGATTTTTCATCGTCGAAGCGTCTACAGACTGTCAAATAGACTGGGACATTGTTTGAACTCACGCAGTCAATGGATTTTATGAAAGACTTTTGTGTTCTATCTTTTGTTAGGATGGAACTTTGATAACCGGGAAAGGACCCGGAACGAGAATTTTAAATGTCGTCGATTAAATGATAACGACATTTGCACACGACCGATAGAAATGTAAAATCAATCACTCGATCATCAAATACACTGTTGATACTTTTCAGTTCATATCAGTTCTTGCTAGGACTGGACTTGCTATGACTAGGATTGTAACATTAAAGTTTTCATCTTCTTTGAACACACATACCCTATTTTCTGTAATAGTGGTGCGCACTACTATTTTTTCAACCCCCCTCCAGCCTACACTACTATTACAGACTGCACTACTATTAGAGAGTTTCCTTTTTTTCACTAGATCCATACCTACCAGGCACTTACCAGGTAATAATTATAGGCATCATGTACGTATGTCATCCCTTTCTTCCAAGTGAATCGAGTTGTTTTTATATATTTATTTAGAATCAAACAAAGAGTATCAGGATAAATCAATTAACAAACATCAATAGCCACATCACTATCATAACCATTATCATCCAAAACAATATTGACAAGATGATCGTTGTTTTCATTTTTCGTTCTACTTCCTCCGGAATCAAACCATTTTTTTTTTGAAGCAGCGAATGAGGCGGTCTTTTGATCCGTCAGTGGTTGTAGTAATTCCACAAATCTTGAAGGAGTGAACGATCAAATGCTTCGGCAGCTCATTCCAAGCGTTCCAAACCCATGTCAAGTAAATTTGCATCAGTGGTGGAGCGGGATTTCCTCCTTTCGTGAGAGGCCTTGTTCCGTTGACCATCCATTGTTCATATTGTGCTCTAATATTTGCTTTGAAGGGAGCGTTCCAGGCAACATCTGGCGCTTGGATGTATTTGGTACATCCTCCAGGTACAAGAATCGAATCAACCCGCACTTCCTTTAGCTTTTGCTTTGCCGCCTCACTTTTGTGCGCCGAGAAATTGTCCCACACGAGCAATCGGTTTCCAAAAAACGGAGCTCCAATAATCTTCTGAAGGTAGGCCTTGATCGACGTCTCTCTCATCCAAATAGAACCACTCCAGTTCAACTCCAGCTTGCCTTGAAATTTTGCGATAATCGCCGGATCGGGTCTCACTCGATTTAACAAAACAAAAGGCTTACACTTATAGCCATCATCCCGACTTAGCCAGCCAATTGGTGCTGAAAATTTCTCGTCGTTTTTCCATATCATTCGAGCTTGGCTTTGGATCATTTTGTGAGTCAATCGCAATTTCTTTAATCGCTTTTCTCGGATCCAATTGACAAGCTCGTTGTCGAAAGCTGCGTCCTTCAATTTCCGACCACCACCTTCAAGGCGCTTAGATTGTTTTCCTTTTTGTTTCACGAGATCGTCCTTTTGCTTACACCACTGGAAAACATTTTGCCGATTAACACCGAATCTCCTAGCGGCGGCTGATTTGTCCGTCTTTTCCGCAAGACGGAAAATTCTTGCAATTGTTTGTCGGATTCGCCGTCGAGTTCCATTTCTAAAAAATCAAACTTTGAAAAGAATAAGAAAATGCTTGTAAATCAATAAAAGAAGGGTACTTATGGGTTATAGCCACGGCATACTTTTCCATCATGTGCTTAAACGTACGGTGGGTAAAGCCTATAAGTACCAAAAGAAGTAGTAGCAATATGTCCAAAAGTTAATTACAAGCATAATATGTTAGTCGTGCTAAATAAATAGTCACAATCTCATAATAGCATCTCATTTAGCTACCAGTATGCTTTTAAAACAAAGAAAGTCAAAGTGGACAACAACAGAGCAGATTTCAGCAGGGTGCACTACTATTTTTTTCAATCCGCCACCTGCCTGCACTACTATTACAGAAAATAAGGTACTTGTGCCTTTTTTGTTGTTTAGTAGACGTTGATCGTTTGGCTACGGTAGTTTTCAAAAAAATGTGCACCTTTGCACGCACGCAAAATCCAGAGTTCCTTTTGATCCCATTGTTATAAAAGTCTTTCATAAGATCCATTGCCTGCGTGAGTTCAAACAATGTCCCAGACCATTTGACAGTCTGTAGAAGCTTCCACGATGAAAAATCTCGTTCCTGGTCCATCCTGGCGCTGAAATTAAAATATTCGGGCTGAATTTAAAAAAACCAAGAGTTCCTTTTGATTCCATTGTTATAAAAGTCATTGTCCTGACTCGGAAGCAAAATTTTCCAGTTTCAAAATTAGCGGTGATCGAAAATCGATCACCTCGACTCTTTTTCAGACTATTGTAGTCCCTTTCAATGGACTTTGAAGTTGAATCAAATTTTGCTATTGAGGTTCAAAATGCGTTTCGAATTCATCTATAAAAGGGGTGAAAGGCGTCAAAGGCATGTAGATCAGCCATCAGAGTCACTTAGACAAGAGTCACTCGAACAACTTATTGCTCATTCCAACATGCTCATCATCTGTGCTGTGATCGGGCTATATGGTAGGTTTTGGGGTGAACAGCTTGTTTATAAATATAAGACACTATAATTGTAAGCTCGTGTCACTAAATATGCAACTTGTAATCTATCGTCAGTTCTGTAACAGTACACCAGACTTTGTGTAAGTAACTTGAGATTTAGAATAGCTATGTCAGCTTAACTTGAACTTAACTTCTGATTATTCACCTTAGCTAGCTAAATTACAACTCAAGATGAACACAGTTATGATAGTGATCTTTCAGCAAGCACCACGCTAGCCTCTCTCCCCATTTGTTCAAAGTGTCCAGCAGCTGGTAAATCTTTTAAACTTAACAAAAACATCAACAAGTGATCAAGCAACAAATTCCAGGCCACTGGTCAAGGTGGGAAGACTATACAAGCTGTACAGGCACGTGTGGTTTATTCGGAAGAAAAGTTCAAAAGAGGACGTGTCTCACATGGAAATGGGGATGTCCATGCCAGTGAGTAACTAAACAATTTTGTGTACGTTTAAAAACAACCATTCAAATCTTTCCAGGGGACCATATTCTCGAACAAGACCATGTGCTCCGAAGCCATGTCCTGATGACTCGAATGCCTGTGCTGAGGGATATTCACTCGTAAGTTTTTCGTTTATTGGCTAAAGTTCTACCAGACAGCTAAAAAGACAGAATTTGCCATTTCAGTACCCCAACTCCAAACTCAAGGAAGTTCTCTGTGGAAATGTGACTCTGCCGAGTGACTATGTGATGCCAAAGTGTCGAATCACAAGTAATACATTGAAGATAGATCTGAAAGAAATGCTTTCAGAAGTCCTCGCACATTGTGCTTTCCCAAATCTTGGCATTTGGAGTGGCTGGAAATCGACGGCACCATGCACGGCAACCTGTGGACTCAACGGAATGGTCACTCAGAATAGAACTTGCTTGTCGGAAAGCAAAGGCCACAAATGCACGTGAGTTTTTAAGTCGCTTTTGTACACACATAAACTTTGAATCGAACAGAAGAAATTTGAGCTCTAAAAGTGAAGTGTGTTTAAATTGTCTACCACGCCGACTCTAACATCCACCAATATCTCCATTCATTTAGCGGCTCCTCAACAAGAACGATTCATTGTCCCAAACTCGCCTGTCCAGGAGATGTGTGTGCATTGGATACGAAAGCGGTTAGAGCCTTATGTTAAGAGCCAATCACTTTTTGGATTAGGTGACGAATCTTGTGACTGGCAAAAGGGTTTGCGGTGTCGGCCTGCCACAGGATCCCGTTTTGCAAATGCCCTTATGCACGGTTTGTCGGAAGAGTTAGGGAAACATTTGAAAGCATCCGAGTTCTATGGTTACACATACTTACAACTTGCAAGTACACTGTTTACTTTTCCCCATTAAACTAACCTACACTATTTTGTAGCTAATGAACTATTTAAGACAACAACCAAAAAGGCTACCACAAAGCCCACAACGAAGACAACGAAGAAGCCGACCACAACGACAACGACAAAGAAAACGACAACGACAAAGAAAACGACGACATCGACAACAACCACAACTACGACCACAACGACACCAGCGCTACCATGTGTCACAACTTCGGTAAACGTTGAGAACATAGGCAATTAGGTTTTTATGTTTGACACAATAAATGAGGTTGCTTAAGTAGCTTCTCAAGAATGGTTCTAGCCTATTTTAAAGCAAAAGGATCAACATCTCCAGGTACCCACCACAACCTATGCCGATTGTGCAGCTGTTGGTGGTGGCTTCATTGATGTCGGTGGATCGTGTTATCAAGCAATCTTCATCAATGACTCTTACATTGGTGGAGCTAGAGCCAAATGTCAGGCATTGAATCCCAATGCTGACTTGGGCACGATTCGATGTGATTCGGAGAATACAGGAGTTGCCAGTTAGTGATTGAGTGGTGATTGTTTTCAAAATAGGTCTTAGATCTTGTACCAGCTGATTTGAAGACTCAATGTTCAACGTTTGGAAATTTCTTCTATAGTGTGAGTTGTCCTGAAAATTTCTTTTTAACTTTGAGCTTTAGCAAATGTTATTGGGGATTAACAATGTGACAACGACGAGTGGGATTGCCTGGTCAAATGGTGCCAACTCAACTTATCGGTTTTGT